CCATTAAATATATATAGCTAGAAGCATTGGGGTCAAGTAGGGGTTTGGGCGGCTCGAGTTACAAAGATAAGTAGGGACAAAAACCTAAACGTAATTCCCTACTTCGATCCCCGTCTTGGGACAGTACAGGCCTTATTTCACAAAACAAAACTTTGTTATTAATCGTTGTTTAATGGAACATCTGTATTTTTTATTTCGTAGAATATTTCTTAGATATTGTTGTACATATATACTGTTTATGTAGTCTTTTGATTTTACAATCACATTAATAATAGTTTATCTTTATCTTTATTTATTTTATAAATACAAAGTTGTTTGTATGATTTCTGAGAAATTTGGCGTATTTAGTACAGTTGTTGTTAGGTATATATCTTTTGATATAGCCTACTTTTAATTCCGTGAAAATTGTGGAAACCCTACGCCTAAGAAAAAGATTTTGGAGGCTATGTGAAAAACAATTGTACTTTAAAATATAAAAATCCTATAATAAAACTTTTTAACAAAAAAATAAAAACCGACTTCAAACAAAAGCACTAAAAAGTAAAAAATAACTGATTGGTAGTTTTCATTTACATACCTAATCAAATATTTTCGAAGTCGGTGTGCTTTGGCTAAGTAATTAAATCCTACCTATTAAATACATACCTAATCAAATATTTTCGAAATCGGTGCCAGCCCATACAAAGCAAAGCACACCGACTTCGAAAATATTTGATTAGGTATGTATAGTAAATGAAAACTACCAATCAGTTATTTTTTACTTTTTAGTGCTTTTGTTTGAAGTCGGTTTTTATTTTTTTGTTAAAAAGTTTTTATTTTTCCCTTTTTAGTGTAGACAGTAATAGCAAAGTAAGGATTCTAACGTGTTAGGCTTGTCAAATCAAACAAAATAAGCCCAAACTCAAAGTATCTACTATTAGCCGTTGAAGAGTTCCACCTATCCACCTTCTGGCCTTGCCATCAGATCAGGTCAACAATACCGAACCACTGTACTATCAACGGAAATAGAAATACTTGCAAAGTTTCAAGTCAATATGACAATTAGAAGTAGGTTAAATTCATCATTAGTTGTTTTTCCATCCTTAGGGGTGGTATTTTTTTTTGAAATTTAAATGGGACCAATCTGGAAATATACCCTTTCAAACAAAACAAAAATTGTCCAAATCGGTTAATAAATGACTGAGTTCTGAGGTAACAAACAAAAAAAAAACATACAGTCGAATTGAGAACCTCCTCCTTTTTGAAGTCGGTTGAAAAGAGGAGGTACTGTCTACTGAAACAGTTAGGTGTATGACCGTGTTTTGTTTTAATTTTACAAGCTTTTATTTAACTTGCAATGTGCTTTTTTCGGTCAAATCTTGCAAGAGAATTTTAAAGCAGATATCTTCAACCGATTGAGATGAAATTTTGCATACACATTTAGTTTGGACGACAATGCATGGTTAGCTAAGTGACGTCATTCTAAATCCAATACGGAATTCCAAAGATGGCGGACTATATTTTTTATGCACCCCCATGATATGGATATCAATAAAAACTAAAAATAAAAGATAAATTAATAGTAGAAAATATTTTTTAAAAACAAGCTTTTATTTAAATGCTGTAAAAAGAAGAAAATAAACTTTAATTTAAATCAAACCCATTAATTTATTATATTACACAATTTATCTTCTGTCTATACGTTCATCTTTATATATATAATTCTTCTGTGAGTGTGTATGTCACTGAACTTCTCTCAAACGACTGGACCGATTTTGATGAAATTTTTTGTGTGTGTTCAAGGGGGTCTGGGAATGGTTTAGATTCACAATTTGAATAATAATTTTCATCAAAAAAATTATTAAAAAAAGTTTGAAATTTTCAAATTAAAGACGTGTAGACAGGACAACGTCTGTCGGGTCCGCTAGTATATAATAAAATTCTGAGTCGAATCTGTACATTAAATATTTTTTTGGAAAATCTTATTGAAAGTCATTATTATCGGTACAAAGGCCGAATAAGATTTTTTATAATTTTTGTCTGTCTGTTTGTCTGCCTGGGGACGTATCACAAGAAAATCTAGCAAAGAATTTAAAAAACGGAGCTGATGGATTGATATAAAATCTTAAATGCCATTGAGAAAGTCTGAGCTCGATCGTTTTAAGAGAGTTCGTTCTAAGCCGTATTTGATTGGGCGATTTAAGATGCAGCCAACCATAATTTTTGTTCGACTGAAAGTAAAAAGAATTCTTATTTTTAACTATTCACAACTTGAATTTTCAGTGAATGTTAATCGAAGGTTAAAATGAAGAAATGACAATTTATGGAACGTGATAAAACAAATTAAGTCGTTCTTAAAATAAAATTAACATTAAATGCTAGTTTTTGAAGTGAAATTCTTATAAAATCACGTACTTGCATTAATAATATCGTTTAGTTTTAACTAACACCCACTTCGGTTAGGCATCAACGGTCATTAGGGGTGTTGTAGTGTGTGCGCAAGCAATCCTGCAACGCCCCATTGGACATTAATACACACACATTAATACACAGCGCCATCTAGTTCCATGGTAAGCTACGAGGCTTGTGTTATGGATACCAGATAGTTGATACACTACACATATATAATTTTAAATACATACATATTATAAATATAAATACCCTTGACTGGAGTACAAACATCCGTGCTCATCACACAAATGAATGCCCCCAGCGGGACTCGAACCCGCGACCGCTGGCACAGCAAGTACTACTACTACACTACAAACGTGTCGTCAAATATATAAGATAAAAAAAAATATGCGTTGTTAACTTGTTAACCGAACGCAGAGTAGGTCTGCCAAACATGTACTCGTAGAACTATCTTTTCGGATTTTTTTAGATTTTTGATTGCTTTAAGCCGTCATTGTAACGGGTTGATTGCTGTAAAGCATTTGAAACATCGGGATCCAAAAATTAAAATTAGTAAAAATCCGAAAATATACCTAGTTTTTTTTCGCGTAAATCTAAGAAAGTATCAATTCGTAGTCTGAATAGTCATATTATCAGTAACATATATTTTTATAATTAGACCGTATTTAGAATTTAAAAAGCTTTACAATGACATTATCAATTATTCAATTTTTAACAATTAAGTGTGCCTCTAGCGATTTCGCATGCGCACTTATCCCATTTCTGTTAAGGACGTGTCAACGGGGATTAGGACTTACGACAAATTGTCTCGTTTACCTGATTTATTTTTGTCGGTAATCCTCCAAGCTTATAAGACCTCGTGTATACACGCAATGAGATTTATATCGTGTTACTTAATAAAAATATGAACCACTGGACTCGGTAGCATCATTTTAATTTGTTTTTAAATATAATTTGTTGTTTTGTTTTATGCTTTTAATTTTGTAATGTAATAGAGTTAAGTTTATATATAACAGCCAGCAACCCTTTTGTTGATACTTTTTAAAAATTCAGTATATGTGGAAATGTTTTAAATTTCCCACTCTACTAACATTACGTACCCTGCTCAATCTCTGTCTGTACCCATCGTTATGTATCACGACTTCCTTCACAGATTAGATTTCTTTTAGAACATTTTTCTGTCTATTGTCATTTAATAGGAAAGACTGCAATATTTATATATATCCAACTAAATTTTATAAGAAGACTTTGAAGACTTTGAAAGAGAACCCTCGATAGTTGGTTTATTTGAGTAAATTTAAATTTTATTCGATATTATCATACCTCAGTGAATTTATCTTTGTCGTTGGCAACCATTATGATTACTGTGGTGAATCTAGTTCGCTATTCAATCAATAGCGGTTAGGCAATTTCATATTAGCCTTACTGGGATATACATATGTATCTACAATGTACATCCATACCCATAATAATATCATAAATGTGAAAATGTGTTTGTTTGTTTGTTTTTTGTTTGTTTGCTTGCTGGAGAGTGACATTAGCTACTTTTTACTGCGGGAGTTTATCCCATTCCCAGGAACACACGTTGTAATACAATCCAAAAAAATATTTATGATCTGAATTACTTTAAAATTAGTATTAACATTCAATACAATTAAATAAATTTGCCAATACAATTAAATAAATACGTGTTTTAGCATTTTCCAAAATTCATCCCATAAGGGTGTAAAATAGAAGATATAAGTTTGTATGAAACCTAAGGTAGGTTTAGAGGTTTTTTTGTAGTTTTAGCGCGAGTGGAACCGCGGGTTCTGCTAGTATTAAATAAATATGCTGCTCTTTTTCAATAATTATTTGTTTCACAAAATATTCCAAAATTTATGTACCGTGTATTGTTATATATTTCCAAAATAAGTAGTTAAAGACGAAGTAACTTTTTGTAACCGTTGTATAGGGTGGTTTCACCTGTTTTCGGCCATTTAAGCAAACGTATGACTACGAAACTATTTTTTTCGATGATACTAAGGTCGCAGATAAGTTTTCCAAATATTTTCGAACTTAAAAGATAATGTAGTTTTGATATTTGTAGCCCCTTTACTTGACAATGTCATATTAAAATTACTAGAAACTAAAATCTCTGAAATTTGCTATTTAGTCTGTTTTCGGCCACTAAATTTGGTTTCCGGCCATTAATTTGTTTAGTTCTCGGCCACCATTTAACAATTTGAAAAATTATCTCTATTTGTTCTTGAATAAGTTTTATATTACAGTAAAACGAAATAATACATACGAATCAACAATTTTAATTAAATTTTCACACTATAACAATGTTTTTAGGAACATTTTTGTACTATAACAGTAGATCTTAAATTATATAAAAAAAAGAAAATAATAATATGGAAAAAAATATAGATGATCCCGAATTTAATATTTTGAATTACGTAATCAAAAAATATCAAATTCGTGATCATCCTCATCTTCTTCATAAATATCGTATTTCTTAAAAGTTTCATCGCTGGGAATGGTTTTAGTTACATCTATAGCTGTTTCACTTTTATGAGACATTTCCTTATCAATCTTATCTTCACTTATTTTATTTATTTCTTTTATATCAATTTCTTTATAATATTAAATTTATCAGTCTTTTCGATTACTTTAGTCTTCTTAATATTGATTTCTATATCTTTATCGGTATTTATAATATCACTATCACTTTCTTTGGCTTTTGTTTGTTTTCTTTTTGGGATATTAGGTTTTATATTGTTTCTATTAATGATCTTAAGTTTTTTCGGATTAAAGGGGAATAGCCCACACTTTCTGAATCCGTTTTTAATATCTTGTGTCATATCTGTATCCAAAGTTTCCTTAAATACTTTACAAAAATTAGTCTTCGTTACGGTTTTGTTGAGGTTTTCCGGTTTTGCCTGCCAATTTCTTAGAGTTTTTTTCCATTCTTGTTTTAATGGTCTAAACACACTAACATCGGCTAGTTGCATAATATGAGTAGTATTTGGAGGCAAAGCGATGTCATTTTCTGCACAAAATTGACTTAAGGGCATTGACATATGTGATTATGTCCATCTACGAAAAGGATTACTGGTTTTTTAATATTGTTCTCCACTAACCAGTTATTAAAGTCGTTAGCTATGTATTCGTAAAAAACATTTGAGCGCATCCAACCTGATTCAGTTTTGCCGATTATCCAACCTTCTGGCATACTATCTATAACTCCTCTTTCAATCAAAAAACATTCAAGATCTGTAAACCATTAAGCTCTCTCTGACCGCCTCTCTGGCTTTATTAATACTTTCAGGTTCACGTACCCTAATCTTCGGATGCCTTCTAAGAAAATTTTGGTACCATGTCTGTCCCGGTCGCCCTTCTGGAAACTTATTTTCTCTTCCAATATTTTTAATTATTTTTGCAACATTTTCCAGCAATACCTCTTTGCTCACAGGAATCCCACATTTGGTTAATTCTGTAATCCAGTCTACAATTTTTTGCTCACCATCAATGCCTAGTATAGGCTCTGGACCTACTTTTCGAGGTTGTTCTTTAGATCTGCCGGAAATTCGATCTTGAACTGTTGAGCGAGGGACACCATAGTGATGGCAGGCCTCTCTGATGCTTTTATTTTCTGTTCTTATGGCCTGGACAGCTTGTGCCAATGCTTCTTCAGTATATTGGAAATGAGTCCTCTTATTTTTAATAGTATGTTTAAGTTTATTTCTCCCAGGAGGCATCTAAAAGTAAAAGTAACATTATTATTACTACAATATGGCTTACACGCGATTTTATCAGTGTAAGTCTCCAAAACTATTCTACAGAATTACCTATCAAGATAATAAAAAAATATATTAAAAAATAAAAAACCCGACTTCATAAAAGCTTACTAAAAAGATGAAAACAAGTTGACAAAGGAATATAGTATTATGCAGTCGGAGACATACACATACATATCGCGACAAGGATGAAACGTGTAAGTCTACGACTACATAATACTATATTCATTCGTCAACTTGTTTTATCTTTTTAGTTAGCTTATATGCAATCGGGTTTTTTATTTTTATAACAGTTTTTTTTATTTACAGCTTTTTAGTTTTTGCCAATTAGACATTTGAAGTAATATTTAGCCATTTTTTATCCTAAATTACTTTTAAACATTTTAATTTTATCTATTTTTTATTGCCTATAGCACTCGCGTTATCGTAACGAATCTAACGATGTATGAATCATCAAAATCGGCTCACGCGTTTGTTCTTTAGAATGCCATATAGGAACAAACAAACATACATACATAGACTGATAGACTGATAATCACAATACCCTTCTTTGCGTCGCACAGTCGGGTAAAAAAAGATTGTGTTACAAAAATCCAAGCCCATGATCATATAAACATACAAACATAAACTATATTTGTTGTAATATTAGTAGATGAAAATAAGATTTACACAAAACAAATAATCTTACGTCATTTTAAACATGATCGAAAAATAGAATTACAACAACAGCTTTACGGCCGTTCTTTCAAATAGGTCTGAAAACTAACTGTATGTTAACTAATTTTCGGCCACCTGCTTTATTACTGGCCGTAAACTAAGTTTTTATGAACCGATTTATCGGCCCCCCTTTATACGTGGCCAATAACCAAATTTAAATTAATTAATTTTCGGCCGTCTTATTGCTAGTGGTCGAAAACTCACTTTGATGTACTTGTTTTCGGCCGTTGATTAACTTGTAAAAGTTTGTGACTGACCAATAAGACGGGTCTTGGGGAAGTCATTTTATGTCTGTATTGTTTGTCTGACTGGCGATTTTTATTCAATTATTTCATTTATTGTCATTTACTGTCAAAAATTTTTTCTGGCCGAGCATCGGTAAACATATTATTAGTTTTCGTCCATACCCATTATACCTAGGCCGAAAAGTAATTATAAGAACTCTAATTTTCGGCTGCCAAATACAAAATAACAAAAAATATTTTTCACCAAATATTAACTCATAACATGCGGCCGAAATCTGACTACATAAATGAGGGAAGGTTATATTTTGTTTTAAAAATATTTTTTTTAAAAGTATTCCTTAAATATTATATAATATAATCTATTATATTTACAAAGCTATCTTTTAGTTCTCGGCATGCCGGGCGAAAAGCAGATGGCCCCCCAAAACCTTATCTAGTTACCCGACCATCAAATTTAAATATATAAAACCTTATCTTTCATCCATTTTAATTAAAATAACACAAATTCAAATAATCACCAATTCAGAGTAATAACATTTATCTTTATCAAACCTTAAACAATTTAGTAACTTACCTTGCAAAATTTTCTCGCGCCCTATTTTTTTTGTTATTATTATGACACACGTGCACTACTCGACTTTCGGAGGCCCACCGACGAGACAGTTGGATCATTATAATGCAACAAAGTTCAGAAGGCGTAGGTTTGATTGGAAAAAATATATTTGACGTTGATTTTTAAATGAGCAGAGTAATTATTTCTTATTATCATCATAAAACTACGTCTTGGCCGAAAACCAAAGGTGGCCGGCAAACCGGCTAAGCTACCCTATGCACATATACTATTTACATATGTTGCATCGTATGATAATATGTATAATGTAGGAATCGAGACCCTACTCAAAGATGTCTGATAAAAGACGACATTTGCAATCCGACGCTATGTCTTTGCGCTGACCCTACTTTAATTTGATATACGTCTGTTTTATATGAACTAATGCGAAAGTTCAGCATTTAATATACTTTAAAAGAGAAAGCGAAAAGATAAAGCTTTCATGTTCAAAGGAAAATGTTAAAGTAAAGCATTCTTAAATATAATTAAAAATCACGTATAAAAAATCATTCGAACGGTGAAATATTATTTTTACTTTATTTTATTAATTGCGAATTTTAAAAAGCTATCCTCATTCTTTAAATCAATCGAATTTTAAATTTATTTTTGTATTAATAAGGCCATATAAAACTTAGTTACCTATATAAATTCTCAAAATTCTCAGAAAGGCAGAACCTTCAAAACTGTAAAGTGTAAACTTTGCTTCAGAAATTCAGGGATAGCTATTGAAAACTATTTCGCTGCTCGATTCTAGTAAAGACAATGACAAATTCACACGTCGATTGGTAAAACAAATCACAATCTGTTCAAGATGCTAGGATTTATTCCATATATATATATCATTTGTTACTGTGGAAGGAAATTCGAACGTATTGCTAGTTTATTATTCAGTGCAGTATTCATAATAAATTGAATGAAAATTCTACTTTTCATTATTAGCTGATTGCTTTATGGGTCGAGGAAAAATAAACGGAGTGGAACTGGTTTCGCGTTCCCCATTTCAGAAAAGGATAAAATATTTTCAACGTAGTTTCTATGTCTATCACACAACGAATCGATAAAAAATAGATATGATTTGTATATAGCTTTTAAGTAACTAGGTTCTATTCGGTTTAAAGTCAAAATATCTATACTAAGACGAATCTGTACATTAAATATTTTTTGGAAAATCTTATTGAAATAAACATTATTATCGATACAGATGCCGAATCTATAGTTTTTAGAATTTTAGTCTGTCTGTCTGTCTGTCCGTCCGTCTGTCCGTCCGTCTGTCTATCTGTCTGTCTGTTACAACATCACGAAAAAACCACTGGAGGGATTTTGATGAAATTTGGTATGGTGATAGCTGGTTATCCGGGTCAACATATAGGTTTTTTTTACCGTGGGAAAATATCTCATTTCTGAGAAAAATACAAAAACTACAATGTAAGAGTATACTAATATTTAAAACCTAAGAATTTGGTTTTGGGTCATGCTGAACGCGGGCGGAGCCGCGGGCAATGCTAGTTTTTAAATAAAATTACCATTTTATCTCATAATGTAATTTATACAATTAAAGTTTTAAAACGAGTCTTCAATCTTTATCTATATTTTTAATATTGTAGTTAGTTTTTTACTTTTGAGATGACATATTTGAGATAATTGAAATGTAAGCTTTTTATGGTGTTTTTCATTAGGCATATACATTATACGTGCTTATCTGATTCGGCGCAAGAAGTGGGTCGATGTGTCGGTCGGGTAGTAACCGATTGATCTTATTACACTGAAATAGCTATATAAGGGAAGTTTGTCCATTAATCAAATCCCTAGAAATATTTACCAGTTATGGTGTTTGCGGTACAGCTTTCTGATTATAACTAAAGTTATATTAACGAATTGGATAGGCCATATGCGGAGCTATTAATTATGATTGTATAATATTTTTGTCAAGTATTAGTAATATGAACTATAAATTTACCTTTTTTATTGAATCTTCAAGTAAGATGACTGTTCTTAAACAGCCATGTTACTTGAAGATTCAATTTAATTCTCTTGATATAATTGAATATCTCGTGGGTGTCTCGTGTATACCGCTATATAATAATATTATCAAATAAAAAAAAGTAGGGATAGAATCATAAGATACCCAAGTTAAAACGACACAAAACCGTTTCATATTATGGAACCCTCGGTGCGCGAGTTAGACTCGCACTTGTATGTATTAAATAATTTTTAATCTCGGAAAGATTAAAGTTACCATCGTAAATAGAATTATATTGAGGTACGTTCATCAAAAATCTGTGTCAAGATCGATAAAACTAAGTAGGTACTTAATATAAAATAAGAAATAAAATTTAAGTGTCTGTTTGTAATGTCGAAATCACAGCTTTTTACTAAATGGATGAAATTATGTACGGTACCTATAAGAAAAACACAATATTTCAATTTTCGTCTGTCTGACTGTTTGTTCCGCCTAATCTCCGAAACGCTTAAACTGATTTTGACGTGATTTTCACTGGTACACAGATAACTGATGTTATAAGAAGTAACTTAGGCTACTTTTATTTTAGAAAAAGAATTAGGGTTCCGCTCGAAAAATTAAAACGTACCTAGGGACGCACACGAGCAAAGAGAGGGTAAGTTGCTAGTAAAAAATAAAACTAATTCGAAGTTACTCAGTTCACTGCCCGCGTAAACTGTCCAAGAAATTGTGAAGTTCGAAAGTGCTGATATTTCTCAGAAAATTTAAATTATACCTACCTATTATTTTAGGAATAGCAATAAACTGAAGATATTCGTTTTTAGTTATATTATACCCTTTATTAAAGAAAAGTTTATAGTAACTAAAAGAGTAAACGATGTTCATTAATATGGATTATAATGTTTATATCACATCTTTCTTCTTCATTCTTTCTTGACATCTTTGCTATAAAAAAGAAATATATACTCGATAACATATTTTTTTCTTCTTTTTACCCGATTACGGTAAGCCCAAAGGAGGGTTATGTGTTTGACCTTTATGTATGTACAATGTATAAGTATGTATGTATATCCGATCCTTTGTTATCTAATGAAAATATGAAAAGTATAAATAGATTAATGAACATAAATATTAGCTTCTTTCACACTCATTATTTCTTTATTGTAAGAAAGCAAAAGCAGATCAGTAAGTAGTTTTACATCTAAAACACTATTTCTTAGTTATCGTCAATGTCTGCCGTCAGATGCAATGAGTTCATAAGCTTTTTCGTAAAGGTAATATTTTATCATCGACGGTACGGTTTCTTAGGAACAAGAAACTATAGAACTCTTATAGCTACTTTGAGAAGCTCTAATAATACTTATAAAATGTTCTAATGGTCTTAACAGGACTTAAATTTTCTCGCATTTTCTTAGAACTCCGCTTTTATTGAATGTACTGTAATGTATACTTTATGATGAATTTAATCTATAGTACATATAATAAAATTGTAACTAAGCCGAATCTGTACATTAGATATTTTTTGGAAAATCTTATTGAAATAAACATTATTATCGATACAGAGGCCGAATCTATAGTTTTTAGAATTTTTGTCTGTCTGTCTGTGGGATTTTGATGAAATTTGGTATGGTGATAGCTGGTTATCCGGGTCAACATATAGGATACTTTTACCACGGTAAAATATCTCATTTTTGAAAAATAATACAAAAACTGCATTATAAGAGTGTACTAATATGTAAAACCTAAGGATTTGGTTTTTGGTCATCTGAACTTCACGTATATTTTTATTATTTGACTTACAAATCCATTGTATCTATTACTTTGCATTAGTTAGTGGTTGTTGATTATTTTGTTTAATATGCTTTATTTATTTGTTTGCTATATTTATTAGTTATATTATTAGGTAGGTACTTAAGTAAGCTAATTGTTATTAGATCGGTGCATGAAATATAGTTAGCACACGTCAGGCGCCGTCACACTTGACAGAAATCTTGTTTTGATGATACGTAAACGTTGTCGCCGAATAATCTCTCGTATAATATTATTTTTATAATACCTATAATAATATATAATAAAGGCAAATAATAATATAATAAAGGCAGTGGTAGCCCAGTGGTAACGCGCTCGCTTGGGAAACCGAGTGAAGCGAGTTCAAATCCCGGGTCTCGCACTTCTGATATTTTCATGTGCGAATCATTTCCAACATGATTACCACTTGTCTTAACGGTGAAGGAAAACATCGTGAGGAAACCTGCATGTCTGAGAGAACTTAACAAGTTTTCGAAATACATGTGAAGTCCGCCAACCCGCACTTGGCACGCGTGGTGGACTATGGCCTGAGCCCCCTCGTATTGAAGGGAGGCCCGTGCCCAGCAGTGGGACTTTAAAAAGGGCTGAATACAATATCTATAAACAATTCATTATAATTTTCAAATATTACCCATAAAGTAGCTAAACTCCCTAAATAAT